GAAGCCATTTTTAATTGGAGGTTTTATGTTTTCTGAATGTAAACAAGACCACATCTGGGGTTCTCATGCCCACATGTCACCGGCGTCCCAGTGCACAGGAGAGAGAGAGAGGGAGAGAGAGAGAGAGAGAGAGAGAGAGAGAGAGAGAGAGAGAGAGAGAGCATGTTTAAAGGTGTGTCTGTAAGAAAGGACCAGAGGGGGGAGGGGCCGGGAATTTAAGCCCTAAAGTTATTTTTAAACTAAAAACAGGAACTCCACTGTTGACTTCCCAAACACCGAGACACAGATCGGTGTAAGACCCAGGAAAAAGGAGGAAGGGAGATTATACGCACATCCTCAAACACCTCATAGAGTTGGCAGGTGTGGATCTCACACACACACACACACACACACACACACACACACACACACACACACACACACACACACACACACACACACTGGCTCACCGTGAAGACCTTTGGGGACCAGCAGCTGCAGAAACAGCAGAAAGCGTGGTCCGAGCCCCACACATGGGACGTTGCTTTGGATTTGGGTTTTCTGGCTATAATCAAACTGCGGCGTGCACGAGGAACACGTAAATTACAGGCTGGTGGCGAGCAAGGGGAGAGAGAGAGAGATGTTTAATGTGGCTCCAGAACACGTGAGGAGATGGAGAAACGAAGCCGGGTCGGATAAACAGAACAGGAGTTTGGACCAAGATGGAGATCTGTGCTGGGGGTCGTCGTGAAAACTCACCCGTGTTTGTTGTGTTCCAGACTCGTGCTGCCAAGAAACGTGTGTGTGTGTGTGTGTGTGTGTGTGTGTGTGTGTGTGTGTGTGTGTGTGTGTGTGTGTGTGTGTGTGTGTGTGTGTGTGTGTGTGTGTGTGTGTGTGTGTGTGTGTGTGTGTGTGTGTGTGTGTGTGCGTGTGTGTGTGTGTGTGTTCGGATGCTTTCTGAACATCTGCCTCGGTTCTGCTCACCACCGTGGATGACAAACAAAGTCAGCCGTCACATTCGTCTGAGGTCTCCCTGATGGGGTCAGAGGAAACTGGGTCACCTTCACCAGTTGGTCGGTGGATGTGCCCACCACCCATCCGCTGGCAGGGGTCGCACCCTCCCCTCTGGACCCCCCTTGCTCACACGTCTTCCCCCTCCTCTCACCACCAAGGTGTTACAGAGAGACGCCTTGTTCTGCGGCCCTCTCCTTTCCACCGAGAGCCCTCAAAAATCCCAGATATCCCTGCAATTTCCGGTGCAATGTTTATTTGGCAGCGAGCGGGGAGGGGCGGAGGAGCAAAGGGCCTCGCTCACAAACAGCCGCGCAGCGTCGGAGGGTAAACACGTGCAGGAGGGGTGTGTGAGCAGAGCGCTGGCAAGGACTAAGGTCTGTGTGTTTTCTGATCCCACCTCAGCAGCAGCGACACAGAGCAGCACCCTGTTCAGGCCCCAGCCGAGCCCCCACCCCACCCCCACGGAGAGCGCCCTCTGCTGGAGGGGGCCTGCAGAAAAACAACCTCAACAACAGTCCTGAGGGACAAAGCCATCTATCCAGCCTGGGACGTCTCTGTTTCTGGTACCTTCTTCGTCAGTCGGGACTTCAGGATAAGCTGTTGCTGCTGGTTGGTACCGGCCGGGATGGGATGGGCGTGTCCGGGCAGGAACAGGGTGGAGGAGTTTTCGGGAACCAGGAGGGGCTCATCAGGAAGAAAACGGGACCTGTTCGTCTCTGCTTTGGCCTGTTTCCTTGCTGCTTCGCCGTCAGACGCCGTCTGGATGCAGGAAGCTGCTGCTGATGGGAACTCCGGCTCACCGGGATGCAAAACCCAACTACTGATCCATACATTCATATTCTATCAATTGTTTATTAATTAAACAACTTATTGCACGCTCTCTGTGAAAAGGAGAGCTACAAAAACACGTTTTAAATGACAAAAACAAACTGTACGTGAAATACTGATCAGCTTTGAACTACAAGAGCCTGCTGAACAGGATTTTTCCCCTTTTTTACAGATTTGTCTCCAGGTCCCATCATGTTAACTTGATAATCGCCCCAGTCCTAGGGTGACCAGATTCCAGCTCGCCAAGCGCGGGACAGACTACATGAAACAATGTCAGACTCCAACAAGAACACTTCTATCCTGCCTTTTAGCTCTAGCACCGCTGTTGGACACACACACGTATCATCCTGGTGTGTTTCATGTCTATTTGAAGCTGAACGAGCAAACAGGTCCTCTCCAGTCACCGCAGCTCTGCTCCGGCTCTTTGGACCTTCTACATGAAAAACTTGATCTAAACTGCTTTAAAAGCCATCAGCTCCCTTTGACCTGACGTGGGCTTAAACAGCTTTTCAGACATTTCATTGAACGTTTACTCTGAACTTTAGTTTTTATTTTGACTTCAAACAAATTTTCTGCTGATGTCAACGTCCGGTTGATAAAATATCCATTATCAAGTTTTATTATTACAGGAACAAAATGTTTATTTTTTCTAAAATATCAACAACTCTCTAGTAGTAAATATTTAGAGAAGAGGAGAAGTCAGGTCTGATCTGAGAGTTCTGGCTGTTTTCTCACATTTTCTGAGAATAAGTAATGAATTTAATTCTCCCAGCCTTTCTATGAGGGGACAGTTTTTGTGCGTGTGACACAGCTCGACCCCAGCACCGTGCCAGAATCTCCTTTGGGTTTCAGCATGAACCTGTCTAGTTACTGGGAAAACGGCTTCTGACCTAGATCTTTCAGAATGACTCAGATTTTCTGCTCCATTTCATATCGAGTTCCTCGTCCTGACACCAAAAAATGACTTAAAAACATCACAAACACCTCCTCTAAATCTTTTTCAACTGCGTTTGGTTGTCTTGAAAGAAGGGGGATTTGCGCCCTCTGCTGGCAAAAAACAGAACAACATTCTGGTGTCCAACGGCGTTTAGGGAAGAAGGGAAGATGGGGAGTTACTGCCCTCCAGTGTCTGAAAGCTGGTGCTACACTTTTGTTCTTTTTAGCCTTGATTATAGAGAATATTTGGCCTCCTTATCTTAAAGAGCAAGTCCCCCCTACCAGATCCTTACTCAACTCCCACTTCCTGTTTGAAAAATGCAGCAAATGCTGTTGCCTAGCAGACCGAGAGGGCGGAGCCGCTAACACACACACAGGCTCACAACGGCATTGTGACATCATAATGTACCAGCTTAAGTTCTAGGGTACCTCTTAGCCAACAACGATGGCAGATTTAAATGCAGTGCAGAGTTTTTACCTGACGACGGCACAACACTGACAGTTTTAGGCAGAAAATGAAAATTTTAACTAAAATGCACTGAAGTGAAAAACTATTGACTACACATGTCTGCAGCACGATTAGACACACATTTATGTAGTTCATCAGGAAAAAATAGCTGATTTGGGGGTGACTTGCTCTTTAATCTGACATTTGGTTTGACTGATGGCCACATACTCTTGTCTGTCTATAGGGGATTTATATGTATTATTTAGGTCAGCTGGATGGAAACATGACAACTCCGTCCTCTTGCTTCCGAGATTAAGGATTTTGTCTGCCCTCTGCTGGGTCAAGACTGTTGCTACAGGAAGAGTTCATGATGCAAAACAAGACAAAAAACAAGAACACTTCCAGTAGATTCCTTCAAAATAAATCACATCACTTAAAATTACTGCAGGTTTTAAATGAGCATAACAGCAGATAATCTAAATAACAGCACTACACAGAGAGTCTCTTTTAATCACTTTTTTAAACTTCAGCAATTAGAATTAAATGAAAATTTAGTTTCCAAGAACAACGGCATGAAGGACACAGACATGTAAATGTGCATCTGGGAATAGCGCACACACTGACAATAGCACTGATGTCAGCGTGGAAAGAGGTCTATCATGCAAAATAGCTTACATCTCCAGAACTTCATAGCGGTTCACGCAGCGTTACACGCCTTTTCACCAGTGGCGGCACCAGGGGGGGCGCTAGGGGGCGCTATAGCTACCCTTGGATTAGTCATTGCACCCCCATAAGCACCCCCAAGTAAATATTAGATTTTTTTTTATTTAATTTTAATTTAGCGTGTGGATGTGATAACATTTAACATACAAAACAAAAATAATCAGTAAATTATCATATAGATAGTAAAAACTGAAACCAAAACGGGAAATTGATGTTAACCTTTGACCTCATTTTCCACCTGCGAACGAGTGAAAGGTAGAGCTAGTGGTAAAATGGATCGGTTTTTGTTGCCCACGTTTCCACGGGTTCAGTCAGAAACGAATGAATGTTTGGAAGAGATCTCAGACCCACAAAATCCTACGGATCTGGATGAAGAGCGTCAACCCTCAACCGCCGCAGCAGTCCAGGGTTTAGCCGCTGGAAATGCTAACACTAACGTTAGCTAACCTTGCAACACTATAGATGGTTTTCTGTGTGGCTGTATGTGTTTATGATTTCATGGAAAAGTCAGTGATTGTTCATGTTTATGATGTGTATTAATGATTGTTTCAGGTGTTGTTGAGATGTTGTGCACGCATGTGTGTCTGCTAGTGTTGAAGGTGTTTTAGAGAACAATAGGTACACATGACCACTTCCTTCATAGCACCCTCAATAAAAAGACTAGCTCCTTCATAGCACCTGCAGAAAAACATGTCTGGAGCCTCTACTGCTTTTCACCCACGGCAGAGTTCCTGCAGGACGTCTTGGTTGCACTTTGTGCTACATTTTGCTGTTAATGACAATGTTTGTTTTTGAAAGTGAAGGTATTCCAACAACTCTGTTATGTGAAGTTGACGTTTATTTAATGCTAATAAAACAGCATCATGTGAAGGTTTGGAAACGTTTAAGAAAGCAGAAGACCTTGATCATGGTTCATCTGCTCGAGCTGCAGAAGAACACAAACTGTAGTAAGCTATCTACAGTGGATGGGATATTAGTTAAATATACTTATTTACATTGTTAAAAACGTGTTTATATTTTTTCTAAAGAATAAAAAGACATTATTTCACGTAGCGTGAAGGACCACGTCCGTACGCATGGGGGCGACACTAGCGACTGTTGCAGGCGGAAGGAATGAGCACGGTCCCTTTAAAACGGAAGCACTTCCGCTGTGAGTCAGATTCGGCGTTACCTAAACAAGCGAGGTAAGTGTCAAAATGTCCGGAGTCAGGTAACAACGTGTGTGTGTGTGTGTGTGTGTGTGAGGGGCGTTGAGGAGAGTTCGGTATTTGGTCAGAAGTGTGTGTGTGTGTGTGAGTGTGTTACGTCGACAGGAAACCGGGTTGCGTTAGGAGGAGGACGAAGAGGACAAAGTCGTTCGTAACGTGGATTAACGGAGCTGCCGGTAGATTATTTTATTACGGAGCACCAGTCCAGACTGAAGTGGAGGACAAAGACGTGAAATTCGCGCCAGACTTAAAGCTTTAACGTGAGTCTGTATTTCGGGGTCACGTCTGGAGTTACAACACTCGCCAATATGGCGGTGTCACACAAAACTCCTTCCGACTTGGTTTCAGAGCAACACAAGCCGAGTAGAAGACATTTGCTAGCTTAGCTGCTACAAAAGCAACTCACACATCACAAGTGTCGTTTTCTCTCTCTCTAAACCTCTTTAAAGAGCAAGTCGCCCCCAAATCAACCTTTTTATGCTGTTATATAAATGAGTGTCTGATTGTGCTGTACACACTTGTAGTTAATAATTGGGCCTTTGTGCATCTTAGTTAAAATATAAATATTCAGCCTATAACCCTAAACCTCGTCAGGTAAAAACTCTGCACTGCATTTGAATTTAAATCTGCCACCGCTATTAGCTAAGAGGTACACTATGACGTTAGCTGGTACCATATGATGTCACAATGTTGTTGTGATCCTGTGTGTGTGTATTTGGTAGTGGCTCCGCCCTCTCGGTCTGCCAGTCAACAGCATTTTTTGCATTTTTTCAAGCATGAAGTGAGAGTGGAGTAAGACTCGGGTAGGGGGTGACTTGCTCTTTAACTTACAGATAACGGGTCATTTAATTCTGGAACGTAAACTGTTTAAAACTTTTAAATTGTTCATGATGAAGTCGTGTTTCCCAGTTTCAGATTTCAGTAATTAGACTTTTACAGATAATGGTAATAGTTATTATTAATTTGTAAAACATCTGAATGCTTATTTTGGTGTTTAGTACGCTTATGTAGATTAGACACTAGGGCAGCACAATAAATCGTAATTATATCGTTATCGCGATATCAGCATGCGCAATATGCATATCGCAAAGAACGGATAAATATTGCAATGAATGGTCAGCTCAAATGTTTGCTACACATAATTCATTCTGTCAATCAAATGCAAGCATGCTGTTTTTTTTAACAAATCAAATAGAGCTCTTCACCCATTTGGCCAACTGGGTGGGTTCCCATAGGTCAGAGGCCCGCCCCCGAGGCGGACGACTCTTCGTTTTGATGGTTAGCAAACACCTGAGTTAGCTTAGTTCTGCTCTTTTTGCTGATTCTCATTTTCTTGTTTATTTTCTTTTTCCCTTTCCTCACATCTTTTGCTTTTGTCATTTTTAGAATATTTGAATTTTTTTGTTTTAGATTATTTTGTTCCTGAGTTAAGTTTTTATTCACTGCAAGTAATCTCGTCATCGCGATATTAATGACTGTTATGGAATATCGCAGGTTTTCCTAACATCGCGGAACCCTACTAGACACAACCTGATTCTAGTGTTGAGCGTTTCTGATTCCCGTACCGCCGTCTCCGGTAAAAAGCTGCTGAAAACTCACCTGTTCAGACTTTTGCGTGACCTTCGTCACCACCCTCTCCTCATTCTGCCTTTCCCGGGATCCACTCATTTCCCTCTTTCCTGTTCATTTTCTCTCTCCTTTTCCTTACATTTTTTTCTTCTTTTAATCATTTTTTAAAAAAATTTATACTTAAATCTTTTGTTTGTTTTTGTTTTTTTGAAGCACCTCCAGATTTTATCTACAGGCGCTTTATCAAAGATCGTCTCCTTCTGATCTGCTAATGCTGACTCGTCTCATTTTACCGGATAATATTAAAAGATTAGAATCCTTTTCTGTCTTTTGATGAACGTGGACCCGATCGGCACCTGTACCTGGGCAGGCCGAGGCGTCTGAACCAGCGGGAAGGACGTGGCGCAGAAGCTGGTTGTGTTTTCAGCATCCCTGAACTCTTACTTCCCGTGTTTTTGTTCAGATGGCACACAGGCTGGTGTTGCGTCGAGTGTGGGCGCTTTCTGTGAAAGATGTCCGCCGCCTCCCGTCATCACCATCCACGGTCACAATCCCCTCCTCTTTCTCTACCTCCCTTCATCCTGTCCCGAGTCGGGTCTCCTTCCTGGCCCCGTCACAAACTCAGAGTCTTCGTCACACCCCCTGCAGAGCCGTCTCCTTCAACGTTCAGGACAACGAGGACTTCACAGAGAGGGTCATCAACAGCCAGCTGCCTGTCCTAGTCGACTTCCACGCACAGTGAGTACTTCTGGATTTGGTGCTGTGGCTCTGCTGAGCACTGGGATGTAAACGTTAATGCTGGCGGGTTTTATTCTCTCAACTCGGGGTCTTTCTCATAAAAAGCAACGCTTCTCCTTAGAGGTTATCTAAAGGACAGGCTCCTGTTTCCCACGGCAACACGTGTGACCTGCTAAGGGCCCTTGGAAGGTCAAAACGTGGGCTTTTGATTGGCTGTTACAGTAACTTGTCGACAGCATCCTGGCGTCGTAGGTTTGTTCGTCTGAGACCCCGACTGATTCTGTTTGAAAGTAAACGGATCATGTGGAAAATGTCAGCCCAGGCTTTCTCTTGAAAATAAAACTTACAGAATAACGAGAAATGAACGTTAAAATGTTCAATTCACCTTTCATTCTGCTCATTTTATTTAACAAATGGTTCATTTACTGTAGGATCATGTTTTATGCTACAAAGAAACGAAGAAGACGTTGGTGATGTGTGTCGAATGTTAGAGGTGCACAGAAAATGTGACACTCGGTAAACGGGAGCTGAAAACACTTTTACTAGAACTCTACTCGAGTTTTAAACAGCAAGTCACCCACAAGTCAACCTGTTTTTGCTGATAAACTGTAAATGAGTGTAATCATGCTGTAGACACACGTAGGCAATAATTTGGCACTTAAGTGCATCTTAGTTAAAGAGCAAGTCACCCCCTACCAGAGTTTTACTCAACTCCCACTTCCTGTTTGAAAAATGCAACAAATGCTGTTGCCTAGCAGACCGAGAGGGCGGAGCCGCTAACAAATACACACACACAGGCTCACAACGACATTGTGACATCATATGGTACCAGCTAACGTCATTGTGTACTTCTTAGCCAATAGCGATAGCTGATTTAAATTCAACTGCAGTGCAGAGTTTTTACCTGAAGAGGGCGCAACACTGACAGTTTTAGGCAGAAAATTCAAATTTTAACTAAAAATGCACTAAAGTGCAAAACTATTGACTACACGTGTCTAGGGCTGGGCGATATGACGATTTTAGGCCGTTTTACGATCTACACGTCTGACGGCCTGTCATTTTTGAGAGACCTTTTTATCACGATTCACAGCTCTGCTGTTGAATTTCTGCCTCTGAATGAAAAGGGAACTTACCTCTGGCGAATGACACGCCTTTGTTTGACCCTTAACCAATCAGAGTGAGTCATAGTAATATATTAGTGCCCCGCTTGTTTTCACCTGTGTGTGAACAAACATGGCTTCGGCCGCGGCTGAGAGCGACAGCGAGGTTTTCGTTCCGAAGAGGAACGCCTCGTCCGTTATATGGAACTGGTTCGGTTTTTCACCAGACGACAAAGAGCAGCGAAACGTCATTTACAAGGAGAGCGTCAAGGCAAGTGATGGCAACTCCACAAACTTGTTTAATCACTTGAAAAGAAGGTATCCCAAACAATACAATGAGAGCTAGCTGGCAGCTAAAGCTAAAAAGCCTGCGGCTACAGCGGCTAGTGCTTCTTCCAGGCAGCAAACGCTAACAAACACTCACAAAACTCCCTCCCTACGGCAGAGACAGCAGACGATGGAACAGCGTGACAGATGCAGTGACGTACCACTTGGTTAAAGATTTGTGTCCCGTGCGAACAGAAGGAGCGGGATTTAAGAACATGATAAAAACATTGGATCCGCTCTACGAGTTTTCCAGCCGCAAGTATTTTTCAAACTCCACCATTCCACGCCTGTACGCTGAATGCAAAGTGAGAGTTGCAGAAAATACTCAGAACGTGCAGTTTTTTGCTGCCACAAGCGATCTCTGGTCCAGCCGCACATCAGAGCCATATTTGAGCTTAACTATCCACTACATGAGCAACTGGGAGCTACATAGTATTTTGAACAAGTTCATGTTTGCACAATACGTTTGCAATTGACATGTTTGCACTTTAAATATGTTTACGATATTAATTTATGTTAAGTTACTTAAAAACGAGAAAAACTGATTTTTGTAATAGTTTCTCTCAGGGCTTTTATCATCTCTGGTGTGGGTTTAAAATATAAGTGTGTTAGCACTGAGTTGATTATCCCTAATATGAATAAATGTTTGTTTATTCAATGTTTCTCTTCTTTAATACACAATTGAAGTTATGCTATTCATGGATAAAAAATCGTGATAAAATCGAAATCGTGATAAAATATTGGAAAAATCGTGATATTCTAGTTTTGCCATATCGCCCAGCCCTACACGTGTCTGCAGCACGATTAGACACACATTTATATAGTTTATCAGAAAAAATACTTGGTTTGGGGGTGACTTGCTCTTTAATATATTATTAGAATATTAGAATATTATTAAATATTCTGACTAAACCTGTCGGTGTTTTGCCGTCGTCAGGTAAAAACTCTGAAATGCATTTGAGTTTAAATCTACCACCACTGTTGGCCTACAGGTACACTGTGGTGGTAGCTAGTACATTATTATGTCACAATGTCATGTACATGTGTGTGTTAGTGGCTCCGCCTTCTCGGTCTCTTTAAAGAGCAAGTCACCCCCTACCAGAATATTACTCCACTCCCACTTCCTGTTTGAAAAATGCAACAAATGCTGTTGCCTAGCGGACTGAGAGGGCGGAGCCGCTAACAATACACACACACACACACACAGGCTCACTATGACATTGTGACATCATATGGTACCAGCTAACGTCATTGTGTACCTCTTAGCCAATAGCGATGGCAGATTTAAATTCAAATGCAGTGCAGAGTTTTTACCTGACAACGGCACAACACCGACAGTTTTAGGTAGAAAATTAAAATTGTAACCAAAATGCACTAAAGTGCAAAACTATTGACGACACGTGTCTGCAGCACGATTGGACACACATTTATATAGTTTATCAGAAATAAAAGTTGATTTGGGGGTGACTTGCTCGTTAAGCTTGATGAGTTTGGATGTACATTTGTACGCTTAAGACTCTTATTGTGAAGGATCACAGGAAGTTCCGCTATGGAAGTGGACCAAATATTAATTTTGTGTTCAGTAAAAATGTCTTTAATCCTCAGTTACAATAATAATAAATACAGAAGAAATACCAGTGGGATGAAAAGCTTCTCACCAGCTTCCTGTCTGTCTGTGTCTGTGTTTTCTTCATGGTAGCAGTAATGTGACCCGTTTCTGCTGGTTCTGGTTGTAGGTGGTGCGGTCCCTGTAAGATCCTCGGGCCGAGGTTGGAAAAGGCCGTGGCTAAACAGAAAGGTCGCGTTGCCATGGCGAAAGTAGACATCGACGACCACACAGACCTGGCCATTGAGTACGGGGTGAGAGCACGGGCCGGAACACCTTTACCTGCCGTGAAACCATTCATGTTGGAGCTTCATGTGTTTGGTGGGACTTGTCTTGTTTCCAGGTGTCGGCCGTGCCTACAGTCATCGCCATGCGGGGGGGCGACGTCGTCGACCGCTTTGTGGGCATCAAAGACGACGATCAGCTGGACTCGTTTCTCAGCAAAATCATTGGAAAATAACCCCCCCCCCCCCCCTCCTCCTTCCCCCGGCTGATCTGGTGGTGTTTGGCACACTTGGCAGTCTGTGCCGTAGTGCCAACTGGCAAACTCGTAACCACAAACGCCCGTCAGTAGGCACACAGCTTCTGTCCAGTGATGGGTGTTTGTCTTCTTTAGCCGGTTAGCTGCAGCTGTGTTGAAGCAGCTTTGTTTTTATCTGAGAGTTCGACAGCTCCGCAGCGGTGCTGCTGTTTCTGTAAACGTCTACGGGAGGACAAACAAACACCTCTGATTATAGTTTTAGCAGTGGAGAACGTTTAAATGATAATAAAAGACAACTTTATGATGCTGACATGATGTCATCTGATTCCTGCTTTCCTCCACTAGAGGGTGCTGTTTCTGTAAACGTCTACGGGAGGACAAACAAACACCTCTGATTATAGTTTTAGCAGTGGAGAACGTTTAAATGATAATAAAAGACAACTTTATGATGCTGACACGACGTCATCTGATTCCTGCTTTCCTCCACTAGAGGGTGCTGTTTCCTAACATCAAAGCACGTGGGAGGGGGGGGGGGCGTCTCTGTCTGTCGCTGTCTCCTTGATCCTGATTGTGAAACTGAAGTCAAGCAGCAATTAGAAAAACGAGTTGAGTTAATTACGGAGAGCGCTCTGCACCAGAAACACGATGCGTGGAGAAATAAAAGATGAGATGACATCTAGCTGCAGATAGTTTTTCTTTGTGGTTGGTAAGGAAACGAATGTGGGAGTTAGGCGGTTTCTTTTGATGCTGATCCATAAATCCTCCTCTGTGATCCTTCTGGGCTTCAGCCTTGATGAGAACTGTGTGAATGTCTCTTGCTACTTTAAGAAGATCTAGTTTCTTACCACGAGTTGCACCCAAAGGCTTCTCCTGACTAGTAACTGTAGTTTCTGGACAAAAGGGGCGGAGTCCAGGAGGACCTACACAGTCAGTAATGCTCCCAGCCAGCTCTGCAGCCTTTAAGTGCATGTGCTGACCAGTGAAAGGAGTCTGGGCTTGTAAATTTTGGGGCCCATCTAGAACCTCCTGCCGTTTTTGGCTTCATCCATAAAGTCTTACATGATGTTTAGATGGGGGAGGGGGGGCTTTCAGGCCCCCAGCAAAACCTGCAGAGCTCATTCTGAAAGGTCTCTGTAGATGGCAGCTGAACTAAACAGGTCAAACGTTCAGTTCCTGTGATGTTTGTTGTGCATGGTGTGTGTGTGTGTGTGGGGGGGGGGGGGGGGGACACAGGGGCAGAGCTCTAGCTGTCATTGATCCAAAGGAAAATAAAATGGATGTTTTGCCTACATTAGTTAGACTATCACTTTTAAGGATTTCTGAAAAATCCTTCATAATTCCTGAAAGGTGGAAAACTCTGGATTACTGCTTTAATGCAGCCCAAAGCTTAACTTATACTTCTGCGTCGGGACGGACGGACGCACGCAACGCCATTATCCGTCCTTTCGAGGGCTCTCCGACGGGCTCGCGAGGACAGACGGAGCCGAGCCCTCTTTTCTAAACAAGCAAGCTTGTGATTGGTCAGGATGCCTCTGTCTCAAAAGGCCCAATCCCAACACTGGCACCCTTCATTTGCGCGTTCCCGGCCAGGGGTGCGAGCGCGTAGGGTGTCCCGATTCTCAGGTGTGGAAGTTGACCACGCCCTCATTGCACCCTTAAACTGCACTTCACCCAAGTCTGCAGCGATGCGTCATTGCTGCGGGAGAAAAGGCTCAGGTTCCTTTTCTGAAAATATGTATTTTCTAATGAAATTTGTTCATTTTAGGACAATGAGTCGATGCTCTGAATGTTTTAAACAAAGCAGCAATCGAAGTTAAATTTATTTCAAACGATTGCTTTATTGTTTGTTGGAAAGTTGTTAATAAAGGTTTTTGAAAAAAGCTTCACTGCGACCAGCATCCCGGCATGCGTTGCGATCGATGATGCAATTGATGTCTCACTTCGGCTATTTGCACGCTTGTGACCTACGCACTCGACCCCTACTGCGAACTTTCTCCAAGTGCATTCTGCTGAAGACCGCAGGTCGCAGCGCAGGAACCGAGGTTGGACCACAGAGCAGCTTGAAGAACACCTCGCTGGAAAACTCTAAAAATATGAACGTTTAATTCCCCCGTGACTGGAGGAGTGAAAAGATGCGCAGCAAGCGTTTTATTCGGGAAACGTGGGTTCAGAGGTGGCGAGTGAATGAAGAGGTGGAGGAGGATGAGGGCCACATTTGTCCGTGTTAACTCTTAAATACAAAAGAAACAAAACACAATATAAACACAATCTTGGGCCGCATACATGACAGGACACCACAGAACAGCGCTACGCCCTCTGCTGTCCTGGCGGGGAATTGCTTTGCAACACTCCCCAGGAGACGGAGAAGTCAGAGGACAAATCGTCTCCGTCCGTGCGCGTCTCTCCCTCGTGGAGCTGACTGAGACGTTTAAATTAGGCTTTAGCCAATCATAGAGCTTGTTTTTCTGGCATGGTGAGCGTAGAGGGGAGGGGCAATACCGGAGGACATGTAAACAACTGAAACAAGAACATTAACACCAAAGGTTTCCCGCTTCTCCGCCCTACTGGTTGAAAGTGGAATAACAACTGTCATAAACAACCCTGCTGTAGCTCGCCCTAACACTATCATGAGCCAAGTCTTGCTAAGTAAACCACGAAGTATGAAGATAAATAGCATTATGACATCATATGGTACCAGCTAACGTCATAGGGTACCTCTTAGCCAATAGCGATGGCAGATTTAAATTCAAATGCAGTGCTGAGTTTTCACCTGAAGAGGGCACAACACTGACAGTTTTAGGCAGAATATTTAAAGAGCAAGTCACCCCCAAATCAACTTTTATTTCTGATAAACTATATAAAAGCGTGTCTAATCGTGCTGCAGACACGTGTCGTCAACAGTTTTGCACTTTAGTGCATTTTAGGTCAAATTTAAATGTTCTGCCTAAAACTGTCAGTGTTGTGCCCTCTTCAGGTGAAAACTCAGCACTGCATTTGAATTTAAATCTGCCATCGCTATTGGCTAAGAGGTACACAATGACGTTAGATGGTACATTATGATGTCACAATGTCGTCGTGAGCCTGTGTGTGTGTATTTGTTAGTGGCTCCACCCTCTCTGGCTGCTAGGCAACAGCATTTGTTGCATTTTTCAAACAGGAAGTGGGAGAGGAGTAAGACTCTGGTAGGGGGTGACTTGCTCTTTAAATTTGAACTAAGATGCACTAAAGCGCCAAATTATTGATTACTCTTGTCTACAGCATGATTAGACACTAATGTATAGTCTATCAGCTAAAGAAAGTAGATTTGGGGTGACTAGCTCTTTAAGCGGGTGGAGACACCCACCCGCTCCACAACAGTGGAGGGGTTGCAGGTTTTTATGCTTCTACGGTATTTGTTGACACACCACAAAGAATTTCCCCCTGAGGGACGATAATGGGATTTTCTATTCTGAGACACATCCCTTCCCATTTAAAATAGAAAAATGGAGTTCTGGAAGCCAGAGGGGTCTTAGGTGTGTCTTCTGTCGGGATGCGAGAAAAATAATCAGAAGTTTTCGACAAATCAGGAGAAAGCAGACAGCCTCGTCTTTGTTTCGATGTATAATTGTTTAATTTAGTGTAAAATGTGGGTGGAGTTTATCCTCAGAGGTCTTGTGACCTCCATTTATGAGTCTCGTCTCTGTTCTGAGTAATTTCTGTCTGAACACGTTTAGCCGAACCCGTAAAAGAACGGAAACATCGTGAAACTCCGAGCTAACGCTCATGCTGATTCTTCCTTTTTAAAGTGGACTTCTGTCTGACTGACCTATGGAGCTGTTTATTTCTTTCTTTTGTTGTCAAGTTGCCATGGTTACAGATGATAAGACTTATCAGTGGGTAGGGTGACGAATTAACAGCGAAGTATTACGACAGGTTGCTTTTAAAGGCACCTTTCCAGGAGGAAAAGCTTACACCTGTGCTGTACGCAGCCTATCAGAGCACAGGAGAAGTCAGGTGGTGAGGCAGGAGTGGACAGGAGCTGCAGACTCGTGACTTTCCCAGCAGAAACGTTCCCAGCCTCCCGTCCCAGCCCACCGTGTTATTACGGAGCCCACAGCTGACAGGATCATGAGCGAGGCCTTCAGGCCGCTCATTAAAAGCTTCGTCAGTCTCGGCTCTTTGAGCGGCTGTGGCGTGGATGAGATCATCGAGACGGTGAAGACGGAGCTGGGGGAGTTCCTCCACTCGTTCAGGTGCGACTTGGCCCTGATGCACCGAGTCATTGTTGAGAGGAGAATGGGAAGCATTCCTGCTGAGGTTTCAGGCGTCACCGTCTACTGTAGAGAAGCACTTTCTCTCTTCCGTCTGCTTAACCATTACCTCAAGGCTTTAGGATTCAAGCTACAAGGCTACACACACACACACACACACACACACACACACTCTCTCTGTCTGCATGCCATCTAGTCATCGTGTTTGTCAGACAGAGGAAAAGGGCGACTGAGGAGATGACGACAAGCACCAGAGGTTCAAGAGCCTCACGTAACCCTACACCTCTTCCGCCAAAAACAATAGACCACACCTCCACCCTCGCTCACTCTCTCTCTCACCCAACCACTCTTATGACCATATAAGGCAAAAACGAAGACAGGGGAAGCCAGCTGCTGCTGCCCGAGCTGCTGAAGGCCGAGAGGCATGGATCCTTCTCCCGACTCTGTCCCAGCCCTCAGAGCTTCGTGCTTGCCCACGTTTGCTCGGTGGTGGTTTGAAATGAAACCGACCCTCTCCGAGCCAAATGCTTCAGTAATGCTCTCAGATCTGAGCACATGGGGGTGTGAGAGCCAGACCCGAATGTGTAGCAACACTCGGATCTGAACCGACCTGAGGGGATTCAGCGTTGATAGTAAATCTGAGGCCGTGTTTGGGTTTTAAACACACAACACCGCTGCACCTCGTCAGGTCGGTGCTCCGTTCCAGACAAACACCGAGCCAGCGCAGACAAAGGCAGCCACTGTTGCTCGCCATCGTCTCCTCCTGCACACGCTTACAACATCACTCTGAGTGAGGATTCGGTCCAGATGATGGATGAGCGGGTTTTCCTGTACCCCACATTCCTCGCTTCTGTGAGTCAACACATCTTATCAGCACTTCCCGCGTGCTGATTGGTGAGGACAGGACAGAGACGTTGGAAGCGGGATGAGACAACAAACAGACACCCACTCGGTTATTACAGCTCATAAACAGTGCTGGCCTCTTGGGCAAAGCCGATAAGCAACCTCTGATGTCGAGAGGCTGTGTGAAGATGGAGACCCTGGCGACTCGATGCTCAGC